ATTTATAAGGGTTTAGGGTTTATAAGGGTTTAGGGTTTAGGGTTTACCATATTAGTATCAAAAAGATCAGCTTGGTGTGTAGCAGCTTCAGCCAGAGGAATGGGTGCGGTGAGCGAAAGCAGAGAGATTTCAACTAAGAGAGAACGATCACTTTCTTTTGCTTTTTTACAAAATATCGTCGAAGTCAAACGCTTCAGTAACTTTCGTAGCTTCACACGAGATATTTCGTAGTTTAATGCCTGCAGCAGCAGCAGCAGCAGCAGCAGCAGGGGGAGCAGCAGCAGCAGGGGGAGCAGCAGCAGCAGGGGGAGCAGCAGCAGCAGAAGGAGCAATATAAATAGGAAGACCAGGAGAAATAAAAAGAAAAGATATAAAATGTAATGCCAACAACAATAGCAATAGCAGCAGCAACAACAGCAGCAGCAGCAGCAGCAGCAGCAGCAGCAGGAGCAGCAGCAGCAGCAGCAGGAGTACACTGTTCAGCAGCAGCAACCAGAGCAGCAGCAGCAACACAACCACCACCAGCAGCAGCACAGCCACAATCACGACCACCAGCATAAGCATCATTTGTTATATATTATATATAATATTGTATAAACGTTATATATATTTACACAAAAATAAACAGAAAGAAAAAAAAACAAAGAGAAAAAAGGATAAATAAAGAGAAATAGACGGTAAAGAAAAATAAAGAAAAATAAAAAAAAATAAAAAAAAATAAAAAAAAATAAAGAGAAATAAAGAAAAATACATGTAAACAAATGAAAATAAATAAAAGCAAACAGGAACAAACAGAAACAAACAGAAACAAAAAGTAAAAAAAACACAACCAGAAACAAAAAGAAAAAAAAGAAAAAAAAAGGAAATACACGTAAATAAATAAGAACTAAACATAACCAAAAAGAAAAAAAAAAGAAAAAAAAAGAAACAAAAAAAAAGAAAAATAAATAAAAACAAACAAAAAAAAAACAAAAAAAGTAAATAAATAAAATAAATAAAATAAATTTACTATTGGGTACTGATCACTCTTCCAGCTATCTACAACTCTATCATAAATTTTATATCTTATAAAATACATAAAAACAGACAGAAAAAAGAGAAAAAAACAAAACAAAAAACAAAAGAAACAAAATAAATAAATAAAATAAAATAAAATAAATAAATTTACTATAGGGTATTGATCGCTCCTCCAGCTATCTACAACTCTATCATAAATATTATATCTTATAAAATACATAAAAACAAGCAGAAAAAAAAGAAAAAAAAAACAAAACAAAATAAAATAAAATAGAATAAAATAGAATAAAATAAAATAAAATAAAATAAAATAAAATAAAATAAAATAAAATAAAATAAATTTACTATTGGGTATTGATCGCTCCTCCAGCTATCTACAACTCTATCATAAATTTTATATCTTATAAAATACATAAAAACAGACAGAAAAAAGAG